GGGCTGAAAAGAACGTTGGCACCTACCAGATGTGACCCTGGACAGTTCTTTTCATTGAAGGAAGCTAGCATTCTCGATTTTACCGTTTTTTAATTTTTTTTATTTTTCAAGAATGGTGATTGCGTAATTGACCTGTATAAACTGTCGTTTAGAATCTAAACTTTAGATAACAGTGTGAAAAGAATGGTGGTGTGTGGATGACAGTGGGTAGCAATTTGTTGAATTATTGTTACTTTAATTTTCCTTAAATTTACTGAGCAAAAGAACACACTTCTCTATCTAAACATAAAATGAGAAATTGAAACACTTTTTTGACTTGTTAAAAAATAAAATCAATTATAAACTAAAAGGATTATATGATTTTCACTCAATTTTATTTATATTCTGGTTTATAAATAGTACCGGGAATAGAACAGTGGACATCAAATGGGGATATTTTTTCCTTCAGTGAACTATTTTTTCAGCCAAGAGAGTCGTGTCTGCTGCACCGTCTCACACGAGTGCGCTAGGATGTCTTCAGAATGAAACTGACAGCAGAGGACCTGTCAGTGCCACCTGGGAAGTGGCAGAGCTCCAGTGGGCAGTTAGAAGGGGTCCATTCCAGTTCTCTTACTATCAGTTCAACATCTGAACAAAGAAAGGGAAGTGGGTTGTGGGGAGGAGTAGCCAGTGGAGAGGAGCACCGCTGGAGGCAAACGTGACTATCCTGAAGCTGTCCTACTTCAGGCCTATCATGAGAAGGCAGGTTCTTAGGAAAGGGAACGATGCTGGGGAATACAGAAGGCAGCAGGCAGAGAGGAAGACCAGTTGTGAGGCAGGTTGACCCATGGAGGAAGCACAGGCATGAGTCTACAGGAGCTGAGCAGGCTGTTGAGGACAGGGCACTGTGGATGCCCCTCATTCATAGTCACCAGGGGTCACTGCTGAGTCAAGGGTATGCAACACAACACAGTAACAAGGAAGAAAAGTTTCAAGGCTTTTTTTTCCCCCCACTTTAACCAGATACTGATCATTTTTTATGTGAAATAAAAATTTTATCAATAAAATATGTTTTGATAGGGTATAAAGTTTTCTAGCTTTATTTTGTGGCCTGTGCTTCAAGTGCTGAGCAGTATCTAACTTTTGCTGTTCTAATTCCTCAACTTGAGTAGTTGGTTTGAAGCTAAAAAGAATGCAAAAATTATTAAGAAATTGTGCAGATGTTTAATGCCACATCTATTTTCATTTGCATGCTCATTTGCTGGCTATTTAAAATTAATGAAGGGGAAGTCACTAATTTAAAAGCTATGGTTTAGGATTCTTGAAGACAGCATTATATTTATATGGCTTTCAAAATAGAGGACTATAGACGCTCACAGTCATGCGACGAGGAAGTTAATGCAGGGTTGCTGCCCTCCAGCATATCGGCCTGGTGATCGGCAGCCTCCGTGCCCCTTGCTCCCTCACGCAGGCGTGAATGGCAGGCAGGCTGCAGGGTGAGAGTGCCCGAGTGCGTGCGACTGGGCCAGGTCAGGGCTTCTCTGCGGGTCTCCACAACCCGTGCAGGGGCCTTACCAGGTCAAAACTGTCTTCATAATAATACCTATTTGTTAGTTTCCTTTTTTCCTGCTCATCTCACGAGTATGCAGAATAGTTTTATAAATGCTACAGGATGTTAAAATGTCATTGTTCTGATGTCCAGTGGAGTATGTGCTAGTGTATGCTCTTATGTTTTAAAAGTTTCTCATTTTTAGTTTCTAATATGCTAAGTATCGATAGGTATAATTCACAGAAACACAACAAACTTCTAGAGTTAAAAAGGGTGCTATGACACACAAAGTTTGAGAACAGCTGTTTCAGATACATAGTCTTTCAGAAGCACAATTTAATTTAAAGCAGGAAATACTCTGTGTGGTGGGTTCCATTAGCACCTCATGGAGCACCTAGAAAAGGAAGGTCTACGAACGTTGCTGACTCATGGAAGATCACATAAGTTGTAACTTGCAAAGGCAGAATTCAACCCCAGTTCTCGAACTCTTACCTGTGCTGCTGACTGTGCAGTCAGGCGGCCGCCTCTCAGAGAAGTAGCAGGTTTTGACACTAAGTTCTCAGAAGAGGGACTACTTCTCAGAATTGGGGCCACCTCCAGGGAACGTGGATATGAAGAGTGTCCTCATGAACAGTCACTTGTGACCTGAGTTTAATTTGTACAATGTGAACAATCAAACAATTGGGTGTCATTTTTTTAATCTGGGAAATGTTACTCAAAAAAGTTCAGTCTGCCAGCTAAATTGAAGAAGTGGAAGACCTAGCTCTACTGGCCGCTATTCCCATGCCACCAGTCAGCCGTTCCTTTAGGTGAAGTGTGCATCCCCTAGTTTGCCACAGACCTCACCACTCCCTATTATGCCCCATAGCTCATGAATCTCAATCATGTTTCCTGCCCCAGGTGTTTGGATTGGAAATGGCTGGAGATGATATATCTACTGCATAGTGTTTATAGCCAGTCTGTTCTCAACTTATCTGAAACCTAAAAAGGCACTGACATCCCGCTCCGGTCACCCCACCGCGGATGTGGTGCAGACCTCACTGGCAAAGCTAAATGGAGATCACGTGGCCTCTCTCCTTACTAAAGCACAAAGTCTGATTCAGTAAAGAATGAGGATCTGCCAGTGAATTGCCATTTATTTTTAAATGTGCAGCCTTTTCTTTTCTAAGTGTAATAGTGAGATAAGCACTTTGCACTCACTGGCCTCATTTATGTTTATTTTAGTAATGTCTGTTGTCCTCATTATTCCCGTGTCCAGGCGCTTTCTGGAACTTTGAGTGTCTCTGAACCTCTGGTGCACATCAGATTAGTCATCTGAAACCATTGGAGACTATAATCTAAAGGGCTTCATTATCCTGGGCATGTGGACAGAATTATTGAATTTCAGATTTTTATGCCTAAAATAGCTCCCAATTCACCAGTGAATATTAATCTTATCATAGTTTTAGATGTATATTTGTTAGCCTTTTTTCTTCCTTTGCCTCACTCCAGACCATAAGTTTCGTAAGTTGGCAACCATCTCTTTGTTCACAATGTATATTCTATGCTGTGTACAGTATATACATATAATATCAACGAGTAATAGAATGAATAAATGAGTAAATATATAAATGCATGAGTTGTGTATATGATAAATCTTGTTCTCCTTTAGCCCCAAGAATTATATTGAAAGATCATTAGTAAATTTCCATGCTTGCTAATTTGAGGGTTAAATTGGGGAGACATTTATTCCTCTTAAATAGACTTCCACGTAAAGGTACATTCAGTGTGTGGTGCGCAAGCACACACGTTCTGTTTTACTTAGGAGCGTCCCCCTCTTCCTGATGCGCGGTCAGGAGGGAGGCCGCACATCTGTCCAGCTAGTGGTGAGATGCACGTGGAGACGGATGCAGATGAGGCTGACAGGCCTGCGGGTTCAGCACAGACTCCTCCACTCGAGAAGGACCTCTGTCCTGCAGTCAGAGTGGCGGCTGCTTGGCCATTAGGAAACGTCATGTGTAGCAGCAGCTTCCAGCCAGTGTGTTATCCGAAGGGGGCAGAGCTCTGACCTACGGCTGGAAGAGAAATACCATTGTCTATTAATCCTACTGGAACTAAAGATGAATAGTGAAGCGGCCTTGATCTGACACTGAGTTTGACTTTGATAGCTCTTCACTTTAAAAGGTTCTTTTATATTTATGAAAAAAAGCATGACGTCAAGCCAAGGGGGGACATTTATATCAGTATTTAAGACCAGGCTTGTACTGCTTCCCGAAAAAATAACAACAGCCCTTGTGTGAACGGGCTTTTACATGCATAACTAATTAGCTGAGGTTATTATAAGCAGGGCTGCTGTGACAGTTTCCGGCGGTGCCTCGGGACACCTTGTGTGTAGTGCCTTCTCTATGCCAGTCAGTCCGATTGGAACTGCAGAAAGTAGAGGGAGTGAATAGCCTACCGTTTCTCGTTGGAGTGGGGCCACCCAACCGTTGTTATGCTGGAAATGCTAGAATATAATCACTATCAGGTGAGCTTCATTCTTCCTATTCAGTCTCTGAGATATAATGCAGTACATTGAGTAATTCGCCTTTTCACGTTATGCAATAGACACTATTTTCAATTGTAGAAATAATTGTAGTTTGGTGCTATTTATTGTAAGAAGTAATTCAGTTTTATTTTTAAACAAAGTAAATATTAGCAGGCCCCCCCCCCCCCCCCCAGTGCTTGGCTGTGCTTAGCTCATAAGAGTAAATTATGTTTATCAAGGGAAAGTGATTTTGAGTATCACTGATTTTTAAAAAAGCATTTTTAATTCTGTATTAATACTTATGAGAAATAAGAAAGGAGGACAAATATCCTGGTAACTTAATACTCATGTGTTTAAAAACACATATAAGTGTTAATGCTTTGAAAGAAGCTACTTAATGGGCATTTGCTTTTTTGGTTGAGTTCACAATCTTAATTAAGATGTTGACTAATTGTGTCCAATGAAAGTGGAGGAATTAATCCACAACACCTGCTTTAATCATCAGCACGTTTTTGTTTATTTTCAATAACCATTTTACAGGTGTTTCTTTTGGAATTTAAACAAAACAAGACCTGTTCTGTTTGACAAGGAAAGTGAAATAAATTGAGTTATGCTGTGCTCCTTCTATTGTGTTGATCTTAATTAACCCGTTCAGGTGTGTTGGAGAAATTTTTGCCATACAGTTAGTTGCATATTTTTAGTTCGACATGAGAAGAAGGACCAGGTTTAGAGATATGCCACTCATTCCCCGGGAAACAAAACAGGCAAAGTGTGAGCCCAAGTCCTAAGAGTGAGGCTTTGAATTCAGTGATATAAAAACCCATGAGCACAGTGCCTGGTATGCAACCGGGACTGGTCTTGATTCTGTCGGCGGACTGGCACGTCTCATGTCTGTGCCTGAAACAAGAGCTGTCCGAACTCACAAATAACAGCGCTGTCTTCTCTCCCCTCCGCGGCTATGTTCAGGTGCAGACCCACCTCGAAAACCCCACCAAGTACCACATACAGCAAGCCCAAAGGCAGCAGGTAAAGCAGTACCTTTCTACCACTTTAGCAAATAAACATGCCAACCAAGTCCTGAGCTTGCCATGTCCAAACCAGCCTGGCGATCATGTCATGCCACCAGTGCCGGGGAGCAGCGCACCCAACAGCCCCATGGCTATGCTCACACTTAACTCCAACTGTGAAAAAGAGGTAATTCATGTCTCTTCCCTCTCCTGTTTTCTTACACTAAATGACTGTCTGTTGGATATTGTTCCTGCACTTGACTGTGGACTGTGGTCTATCAGCACGGCTGCATTCATCGGCCTTGTCCCAGGTTGCCCAGCGCCCAGCCCTTCGCAGCCTCGCTGCGTTTTGGGCGATGGCACAGGTGGAGACCTGGCCGCTCCCCGCCCCCATTTCCGCTGCCTCTGCTCAGAGTTCTCTTCTCTTCAATGCCTTTCCATTTACAAAGCAGTGAAAGTGCAGAGAGAGAGGAGAGGGAAGGTGGAAAAGGAAAAGCAAAAATAGACAAGGTGTGGGACAGGCGGTTTAGAAGTTCCGCTTGTATTTCTCTCTGAGTGGAGAAAAGAGGACAGAATGTGTGTGGATGGATTTGAATAATACAGCACACGAGAATCTAACAGAGAGGCAAGTGTTTAATTGCTGGATAAATTCCATTTTATCATAAAAGCTGCTGCCCATCCAACCTGCTTTTGTAAAGGCTGATTGGAGACAAGACTCAGACACACCTGACGCTACTAATCATGGCCTCAGAATCTGGTGCATAGAAATCCGAGAGGAGAGTTGTGACTTAATGTCTGTCATTTCCAAATTATGAGGTGATGAGCCTCATTTTAATGGAGTTTCATTGTACTCTGAAACTCCAAAGTGACTTTTATGAAGTTTGCTTGATTTTAATTTCTAAATGAACCAAGTCTTTTCCCCACTGCCCAAACCAACTGTCCTATTTTCTCTGCCCATATTTGTCATCTAATAGGCTGATTTGATGCAAGTTCTTTTTTCATTATTTCATTTATTGCTCAGATTCACCTTTGTTTGAAAACTTAGTTCATCTTGTTGCTGCACAGTCAGCCTCATGTGAACATGTGGTTGAAAGGTCATTTGCAAACCCAAGTCATGGGCTGATCTTGCTTGTGTTTTTGCAGGGATTTTATAAGTTTGAAGAACAAAACAGGGCGGAGAGTGAATGCCCAACAATGAACACACACTCCCGAGCGTCCTGCATGCAGGTACTGAGGGGCTTGGGGCCCAGGATGGAACACTTGGGAATGAGGATTGGAATTTGTGGCTGATCACCCCATCCTGATGCCTAAGGGCCCCCTAATTGATTTTTTGTTTGTTTGTTTATTTATGTATTATCTCTTTTATTTCGGTTTGAACTCATAAGACTCCTACTCACTCCATTATATTCCATTTTGTTTCACAACTCAGGGCATTCACACATGCTCTTATATTTTGCCAAGACTCCTTTTCTCTCTGGGTTGTGACAGATCCTTACTTATCCTTTAAGACACCCCCACATGTCCATGTTTCTGAATGCTTCCCTGACCGCAGATGTAACCACTTCACCTGTCATGCAGTCACTTCTCTAATTTCTACTCCTGTTGGGCTGCTGTACAGGATACTAACAAGTGTTATTGCAAGTGGCAAAGGGGGTAGGGAATATGCTGTGGTCCAAAAAAGAGAATTTTATATAAATAAATACAATTATGCAGGTTTTTGTTTGTTTTTTCTTTAGGAATAGTGAGAACCTTTTCAGTTCTCATGTTCACTGTGAGTCTTCAGAGTTGACTATATCATATACACTGTTTCCCATTTTTTATGCAGTACTGCGTATCCCATGGGACTCAAATATCTACTAATTGTCGTTTGTGAAAACCGTTCGGCTATTTTACTTGTTATGATGAGAAGTGCCCTAGAGCTCTGGGCTTCGTGAGGTCAGGGTCTGTACACTCTGTACCATTTGTTGTTACTCTTCCCTTAGAAAAAGTGAATTTTCCTTTAGTCCTTTTACTGATTTAGTTTTAAAGATAAAAAGCTATAGATAGAGCCATTTTCTTCATAGCGTCTCAAGATTAAATAATTACTAAGGAGAGTAAATGTAGAATGCATTTCCCTAAGTTGCTTTAAGTAATTAAATAGTGCTTATAATACATAAAGTTCAATAAACAAAATTAAAATGCTTTAATTCATTTAGATACCAGCATCAGTGTACATTATACAAATGTGTAGGGTAGCCATTTTGATAGGCTATTATTAGTAATAGGTTCATATGTTATCATATATTGTTTTGTAAAATGGAATCTCATGGAGCATATATTCTGAAACTTAATTTAATAATATTTCATGGATATTTTCCCAAGTAAAGTTTCTATGACAGTCTATTTAATGGGTAGATAAATTATGCTACATTCATTTATTGATATAGTTATATATTTAAAATGTGTGTATAGATTTCTAAGAGAAAGCAAAATAATAAGCCACAAAAATTATTGCTTTTTTGTTTTCTGTTATCAGCTTGCATTACTTTTTTCATAAAGGAAAAAATTATTTAAAAACTTTAGCACACCAGGTCCTCTAATTTTTATAGTGAAAACAAAATAAAAACTTACAAAGAAAGGTTTTTTTTAAGTCCCTTGGCCCATTTGCCTGTTCACTAGCATAATTAGAAAATTATCTCTTAAAAACAAACAAAACAAATAAAACTGGTATACCTAGAGATGGAACCTAATAAACAGTATACTGGCAATTATTCAAAATTGACTTCCAATCACTGTTCTCAGGAATTGTGAGCACTTTGCATGATTTATTCTGAAACCTTATAAGAATCCAATAAGGCAGTGAGCATTATTAACCCATTTTACAGATAGGCCCACTGAAGCATTAAAGATTGGGGGCTTTGCCTCCAGTACAGAAAGAGAGAGAACAAAAGTTCCAACAAATCCCATGATACTGGAGCCCGTCCTGTTTAATTGGAAGTGGCAAAAAAAAAAAAAAAAAGGACCCACAGGAACATGTCTCTGAGTCCTGAGATTTTGTCATGTGCTTACGAAGGACTCTTAAGATCCAAGACTGTGTTGTGTGTGTGTGTGTGTGTGTGTGTGTGTGTGTATGAGTGTGTGTACGCGCCCGCACACACACACTCACAACTAGCCCATGTACATAAGGTGTTTGGAGAAATGTTTTCGTTGACTTGTCTTGCAGCTGCTGCGATGCGCACGTAATCGCTGTTGTTTACCGTCACAGCTGGTGCTTTGATACTTGAGGAATACAATTGTCCAGTGGGAATGCCCGCTCCAGGGCTGTGATGATAACCTCGTCCTGGGGAGTCCCCGGCGGGCACTGAGCACACGGCAGTTTTTCAAAAAGAAACTTACTTTACAAGTCACTGTGAGATCAGTGCAGGCTCCCAGGCCCGAGAGCCATGCCCCACGCCCTGACGGGAGCGAAGGGCCGGACTGCCCTCCCCCCCCCGCCATGTCTCCCTCCTCCAGGGAGGGCCTGGGAAGTGTAATACCACTGCAGTTGAGAGCCTGGGTTCAACCTGGGACACTGAGCCTTGCATGAGTGACTTTGGGGTAGTTGCTTCTGTTTATCCCACCTGGAAAACAACTGTAATAATAGCACCGTCCCCATTTGGGCTACTGTGGAAGGTAAATCTTAGCCAGTGAAAATCCCTGAGCACAGCACCATCCCTGCCACCTGTGTGTGCTAATGGCCTTAGTCATGTTCACATTTTTGGAGAAAGAGGACAGTTCTTAGAATCTAAAGATCGTTATTGCTTTGGGTAAGAAAAGAGTAGGATCTCTTTTTGGGTTGCTTTGCATGGTTTTTGCTTACCTCTCTCTCCCATTGCCCTTTTTCCTGCAGATGGATGATGTTATCGATGACATCATTAGCCTAGAATCAAGTTACAATGAAGAAATCCTGAGCTTGATGGATCCTGCCTTGCAAATGGCAAATACGGTATTAATGACTTTTCTTTAAGGAAAACCTTGGGCTGTTTTCAGTGTTCTCTTCCTTTTCCAGAACTTTTAGTTTATCTTTGGAAGTGATTCATCAAGAAATGTATTAATAATAAAACAGAGAATTATCTCGGGACTGGGACATCAAAAGTTAAGTTAACAGCACTCCACTTTCCTGGGGTCCAGGTCCACTTTCAGCAGGCCGGCAGGCCTTCCTGTCCCCCTGATGTCCTTCTCCCGCTGAGCGCACGCTGCCCCGGCCGGTGGGCTGCTGCGCCCAGCAGGGTTCTAGCCTGAAGAAATAATGCAGTCTGTAAGGCAGCATCTTGCTGTTCACAGGTGATAGGGGGATAGTCAGGTTACCATCAACAGCAAAATTTATTTCTATTTTAGTAAATTTTTAAAAAGTAGAACTATTTGCTCTTACGTGTTACTGCTTCCTATAATTTGGAGCCTTACCTGTGTTGTTCACTGTATTTCGCTCCTTACATTTGTGTCTTGTTACTCTTTGCCGGTCTCAGTGCAGGTGTGTTTTGTCCTTGCAGTTATTCTGCGAGTTGTTAGTCAGGTGGGGTTATCATTGCTGCTGTCACAGGGTTAGGAAGCGTGGCAGTCGGCTCCGCAGTAGTCTGTGTGTGCCCAGCCAGTCCTGTCGCTTCCCACGAGAGCAATGCCACGCGCTAGCATAGTCCTCAATAACTAGCATAAACGCGAACTCGCATAGGGGTGAAGGGGAGTCATTGGTTGAGGGGTGCAGTTTGAGATTTGCAAGATGAAAAAGCTATGGAGATGTTTCACAACAATGTGAATATACTTAACGCCACTGAACTGTACGCTTAAAAATGGTTAAGATGGTATATTTTATGTGATTTTTTTTACTACAATAAACGAATTTTTACAAACTAAATTCCTATAATAAGTTCTCTTGGCCAGGGAGTATGATAATGTAGTAATTTACGCCTACATTGTAGTAAGCTACATTTTTATAGTTAGCATTTTCCTTTCTTTTCCATCAACTTCATTTACCTGATGTCTGGAGGGGTAAGGACACCCCTTGAAATCTCAAGCCTCTTCTAGGATCTTTAGTTTTTATCAACCCCTTCCCATTTAAATTCACCCCCTGATTTTGAAAGAACTAAACGTTCTGCCATCCTGACAGATGTGTCCATGCAAACGCGCTGTCCTCTCTGAGCCCTCGGTTGGCTTCCGGGACCCCTTCCCTTCCCAGCTTTGTGCCTCCTGTGAGGCAGACCACACCTGTTGGCAGGCAAAAGCCCAGGTGAGCTTGCCCTCGGGAATTTATAAATATACCCAAGGCCAGGGGTATATTTCTAGTGTTTTCCATGCCCAGCCGCATTAATCAGCCATGCCCAGTCATCCCAAAAGAACTTTGGTGGTGTGGTGGTCCCTTTGCCAGTGGTGTCTAGTGGATATCTGGGCCCATTCAGGAGGACTGTAGAATTGATATAATTTAAAAATCATCATTGCTTTTGTTTTTCTCAACAAAAGGACATCTGAGCTACCCTTTTCTTGCACTGACCTTCTATTGCATGTCCTCTGTGTCCCCAGCCCGGAAATCAGAATCCAGCTTCTAATGCCTCCAGGGAAGCAGTGATGCACAAAGGCTAGGAGCTGGAGGTTTCCATCAGACCTGGGTTCCAACCCGAAGTCAGCCCTTTAACGAGTGACATTGCACGTTCCTTGGCTTCCTGAAGCCCTGCATTTCCCCATCTGTCAGTGGGGCTGATAATTGCGTCTCCCTCACATGGTCATCCCATAAAGGATGTATAGCAGTTAGCATTGACACAAGTTGTATTCAACGTATTTAATTATCAAGTGTAATTTATTACACTATAAAATAATTGTGATAGTATTTTATTCAGGTGGTATTTATTGAGCACCTGAGTATGTCCAGCTGCATGTTAGAATAGCCTCATGCTTCGCTACCCAGATGGTCCTCACAGTGAGTCTCTGGGAATCCCAGATGGGCCGCAGCTCACCTCACGGAGAACTCGTCCCGTGACAGCACCTCTGGAGACAGTTGTCATGACCCCATTTCTTCTCTGCTTTAGACTAAATCCATGTATCTCCTCAGTCTGTCCACATTGGATCATATTCCCTCATTGTCTGATTGCTCCTGCAGTGAAGTGAAGGTTGGTTTAGCTTCACTAAATGCTGAATACCCAGCCCACACTGGGCGAGGCCTCTGGATGCAGGTGAGGGGGTGCTCCTCTGAGAATGGGGCTCACCCGCTGGACAGGGCACCAGGCAGACCTTGAATGGAGAAGGGTGTCAGGAGCGGGGAGGCCATCTCAGCAGAGTTCCCAGATAGGACCTCCCCACCCCAATGGGCAGAGTTGAAGTGATTCCCAGCCGGGAGAGGAATAGTAACCAGTCACCACCCTCAGAAGTCACTGACTGTCCTGGAGTTCATTTCTCTTCTATATTCGCACCCTGGAAAAGGCATGTGGCGTTCCCACAAGAAAACTATTTCAGCATTTTGCTAAGATAGTGTGTTGTAGAGGCTTAAAACACAGACTCTGAGCCACACCTCTGCACTCAACACATACTCCCAAGCCAGTTGACTTCTCTGCCTCACTTTTCTAGTCCAGACGATGGGGATAAAAACAGCATCTAAACAGTAGAATCAAGAATTCATCTGCAAAAAAAACCAAACATTTGAACAGCCCTGGCCCTGGTATGCGCTCACTAAATGTTAGTTAAGCCTTATTTTTAATAAATTTGGGTTTTGGTTATCAAAATTAAATAACAAAGCTACTACAACTTACTAACATTTTAATTTTTTCCACAGTGAAGTTTAAATAGTGTTTTTCATGTTAGGCATTTTTCCCTTTTATTTGATTCTTTGAAATCTTTGTTTCAAGTTATTAAAAAAACAAAGTGGAAGGAACACAGAGAGGAAACTGTCCTTAGGGAATTGGAGTCCAGAAACCACTCTTCTGAGAGTACAAAGGCCTCTTGTGGCATCGGAAACAAGGAATAGAAGTCCCAGTTTGCTGTGCTAACAGTGCCCAATTGATACTCAGAGGGGGACTATCCAGAGGGAAATATTTTACAATGATCATTTACTTGGAAAAGTAATCATTTTTGGTGGATCAGAAAATTGAACAACCTCATCCAGACCAAGTTTGGGTCACACCCCCAGGTGAGTCCACCTTCGTGTTTGCCGAGGGGCTGTGCTCCCCGCTGTCCCGGTGCCAGAAGTGAGGTCTTGTCCACCAGGTGAAGGTGCTGGGCAGTCCAGCAGACACCCCTCCCTGGATTGGAAGATGCCTCTACTTCCTTAGCTCCAAAGCTTGGAGTTAATTTTGATGTTCACTGTGTTTATGGGGGAGTTTTTCTAATCCAGAAGGGGAGCCACAGCATCCTTTCTTAAATATGCACGACTGGGAGACTAATTTTCAATTAGAAAGCCGTACCATTTTAATCAACCTTCCTTTTAGTAGCTTCAACGAAGGGCGGCCATTAATACAAAGGACAGACGCCACCATTTAGGGCAGGGCCTCTTGGCCTTGGCACTGTTAACATGTGAGGTGGATGATCCTGGGTTGTGGGCCGTCCTGTGGACTTCACAATGTGTAGCAGCACCCCTGGCCTCCACCCATAGGTGTCAATAGCACCCCCTCCCAATTGTGACAGCCAACAATGTCTTTGATATTGACACATGTCCCTTGGAGGGAAAATCACTGGTTTGAGATACTGAGTGAGCATCTCAGCCCCACACTCCGATTCCTGTGTTTCGATGTGAGCTGCAGGCTGATGAATGGCCAGCCAATTGTTGGCAATTGACACGGCACACAGATTTCTGTATCAAAGCAAGGCATGCCCGAGGCCGGCTTGAGCTGGTCTCTGGCTCCCAAGCCAGGTGTGGAGTTGCCACAGTATTACTTTGTGAGTTTGACTCTCCATACTTCGGATTGTTCTGGGTTTGAATTGTTTGGGGCCATTTGAAAATTAATTGAACACTGCAGCTTCTCATTAATATCAGCAGGTTGAGACTTCCCCTCCTCCCCCCCCGCCCCCCACACACACACTGCTGCTAAGAACACGGGACATGGGCCTCCTACCATGCAGGCAGCTAGAACTGTGGCTTTTCTCCTGTAAAATCAGTAATATAACACACAAGAGCCTGTCTAGTTCTGTGCCTGGGCCAGACTAGCCCCCACAGAATTCAACTTTCCCCAGCAAAACACGCTGCCGGGTTCTGTTGCCAGCTCGTAATTGTGAGGATAGGAAAGGTCGCCAAAGCAGGAAGAGGGTTCTATGCTGCTTTTCTGATGGGAAGTAACGCTGTCTGACTCGGTGGGTAAGATGAGGTCCTCTCCCTCCGGGAGTCACTGCCGGTTCATGCCGCTCCAGCCTCCAGTCCCGTCCTCGCTGGATCTCCCCAGTCTGTCTCTGGCTACCCACCTGCCAGCCTGTCTCCTTGCTTTTCCATCCCTTGTCCCCTCTGCCTCTGTGGCTCTCGTCCTATTTTCTACCCCACACTCCTGTGTCTGTCTGTCTTGTTCCCAGTTTTTGATTCTTTCACCCTCTTGTCTCTCCCTCTTTCTGCGATTCTGCACTTAAGCATATGTACACAGACCATCTTCCTTTAGAAAATGGTTAGGAAATATGTCCTTGTCCTGGAGAAGCTGTCAGTTAGGTGTCTCCCCAGATGAATTGATGACAGGAATTTAAAAATCCCTATCAATCATCATCATAACACAATTGCATGTTTTGCTTACAAGTTACATTTGAAAACATGATACATATGATTTATTTCCAGAGCTACGGGAATAGTTATTTAGCTTGTTATATTGAATTTTGGAGTCATTTTCTTGGTTTAATAGTACCCAGTACTTCTCCCTGAATTTGAAATTTCAGGAAGCTGGGAGGAGTCTTTGTTATCCAGATGGTGACGAGATGTCATAGTGGCTCTATAATTTCAACTCCAACTCTATGGTATTGAGACATTGGAGTACCTTTTGCTCTGCTGTGTTATGCTGGACAAGAATAACACTGAACACACACAAGGCAAGGTTGACCCTAAGAAGGTGACCTAATTAAAATGAAACAATTTTGTGAAATGATAGCTAATAATTAGTCACCTTTTTATCACTTTCTTAGTTAAAGGGCCTTGAAAATGTGGTCCAGGAGCTTTTTACATGATCCCATTGCTTCGTTTATATGCCTCAGGGATGGGTTAGAGGTGTTGTCCTTCAAAAGGAGCAACAGCCTAGTAGAAAAGAGAGAGCCCTGCTCTGCTGGTGGCGTCTCATCCCCCACCCACCGTAGCAGAGCTAGCCCCATATTACCCTTAGGAAGGATCTTACTGTGTGCAGGCCCTCCCCCCCTCTTGATCCTGGAGTTTAGTTCACAGAGTATTTGTTTAGAAGCCATGAAAGGAATGGATGGCGGGTGGCTGCCCATGAGAGGAAACACATTTGATTCTATCTTTACTTTGTGTGATATTTGCATCTGTATGTCAGTGGCTATTTGAGAGAAGAAAGGTAGAATATGCAGTACAATTCTACTCAGTATCTCTTGGTCACTAAACTTTTGAATCATGTTTGAATGCTGTCTAAGTTTACAGCTCAGATATGTAATCAAGGAAGGGCAGGGCTGAGGGAGGCAAAGTCTTACCAGGCAGTAGCAGCTACTGGAATTGAATTGGGTAAAAATGGGAAGTTTCACTTAACTATCCCTGTAGTTAATCCTTAGAACTTTATCTCAGGGAGTGGGAAAAGCACAATGTCTTGGATCTCTTATATCTACAAAAATGGGCCCATCAAGCTCCTCCCATGTACTAGTTACAGGAAAATGTATATACAACAAAAGGACGCCAGTGTTGGGGAAAATATTTTTACTACTTTAAAATATTCAATTCAGAGCTAGAGAAAACTGCTTTTAACCTATCTTAAGAAAGCTAAATACTTCCTTTTCTCTCTCTTTTTTTTAAGTACAAATTTTTACTTTTATTGAAGTCTGTGAGCTCCCTCTAGTGGCTTTGTGAAAGATTTCAGTTTCAAGAAAAAAGCTTTCCATTAGCAATAAGGAAATCATTTCTTTTCCAATAAGTAAATGTTTTTCATTGCTTTTCCTTACGAGAGAGAGAGAGAGAGAGAGAATAAGAGAAAGAGGAAGAAAAGGAAGGAAGAAAATTGGCTTTGGTGAAAATCCTGACTGAGTGAGAAAGGCATGCCATATAGAACCCTATTTTACAGCAACAGCCAGCACCCGCACTGGCCCTGAGCTGTGCAGGGCGTCCTGTGCCAGCCGGGCCTGTACCGCTTGTGGGTGTGAGCCTGTGTCCCTTCCTCTTGCAAGGGGAACTAGCCGAGGAGACACTGCACCTGTGAGTGAATGGAAAGGCAAACAGCTCATGTTTCCTAATTTAAAAATGACTTTTTACATCAAACCATTTATTTTAAATAAAGTCTAATATGGGGTATGGTTTTTTCTGAATAACTTAGGACTCGTTCAACAACTCATTTCCGTTCCTGCTTTTCTCTCTCCAGTTACCTGTCTCCGGAAACCTGATTGACCTTTATGGCAATCAAGGACTGCCCCCCCCTGGCCTCACCGTCAGCAACTCCTGTCCAGCCAACCTTCCCAACATAAAAAGGGAGCTCACAGGTAAACACCTAGCAAATGTGCTGCTTAATAGGGATTTTCTGTTGATTTTCTGATGCGTAAAGAAATCAAAATAGTGACCTCCAGTCTGTTTCCAACTCACAGACATACTTTTAAAAATCTATGCAGCAGGTAAAACTTAGAGCAACATTTTAAGATGGAGGACTTTACCTGAAAATCCTTGTGTCCGGTACTTCTTGAGATACTGGGAGTCCGGGCTGCCTTTGCTCCCTGTACCACAGCTCTGCGGCAGCCCTCGTGTATCTGTGACTGCTGCCGCTCTGTTGGGGGCGGTGGGAGGGGGCACAGCAGACAGCACTGTAAATGCTTCTGCCCGGTCTGGTGTGTTCGTCACTTGCCAAGCCCCTGGAGGCATCTGAGGGCCCCTGTGTGAATTTTCCTGCCACAGACCCTTAAGCCCACAGCTGGGATGGGGAAGCATATGTTTCTTACATCTTCAGATGCCTCCTATTATTTTTGCTGTATTAAGTGCAAAAGGTGTATTACACAGAGTAAAAAATAAATTACAGAATTGAGTGATGGTTATTGTTTGTTCTGAGGCAAGTGTGAAATTACCCATTTCTCCCCTTTGCTTAATGCTTTAGGGAAGGCATTCGGCTGTTAAAATGTGAGGATGTGGGCCTGGCATTCTACCATGCTGACTTGTATGGCCCTCACCCCACCCCCTGTTTCTGTTTGGTCTTTGCATCCTGTGGTTTTGGGTGAACAGACTGAGAATATGGAATATAGATTTGGTGCAAAAAATCCCTGTCCTATTGGTATCTTTAAAAACTACTTCAGAAAATTGTGGCAGGAGAAAAACATTTAAAAAAAAATCACTGATTTGGGTTAAAAACGATTACTAATTAATACATTAGAAACCATCAAAGGCCAACCAAGTAGTAAGTACCCTACAGGAAAGAAAAGCACCATGAGGTTTTAGTAAATATTGCTAAATAAGATCTTTATTAAATAATAAAATATAGTTAGAGCGACATGATTAAAATTCTTACTACTTGAGTTCAAAGTAGAGTTTGAATTATGTATATGATTGTTTCTTCAAAAACCTGGGAAAACCACAAAGGCAGGGGTGAGGAGTGGAAGAAGTGGGTGAAAGGGTATAAATGTATTAAATTTTTAAAAAGCAGATACAATGGATAGTATACTTCTAAAGTCACTTGCATCTAAAAAAGTGACTTACCTAGACAGGACAGGGTAAAATGCCAGGAAAGGGAGCCAATGGACAGGAGTTGGGGTGCTAGAGGGGCAGCATGCATGATGTCACCAAAGGCAAGCAGGCTTAGGAGTCAGCGATCTGACCTAAGAGGTGGGGAGGGATGGTCTTTATTAAGACCAGTGTTCCCACCTGTATTAGGTGGGGAAACACGAGGACGAAACCGTACAGTGATTTGAACAGAGGTTTAAAATATTCTTCAACCATGTACAGGCAATGAACTACTAAAAAAGGATGAATACTAATGAGTACCCAACCTTGAGAGGGAACCCTCCTCCCAGGGCCAGGGTGGGGGGACGTGGTCACAGCGCAAATGCACAGAAGCCCACTGGGCGCCTTGACCAGAGCTGGCCCACAGCTGGTGCATTGAAGTTGGCAGGCAGAGAACGGTGGGGTCCAGCTGGAACCCAGAAATAAAAGGAAACAAAACAAATTAAGATCCTGAGGTGGAGGGGCAAAAATAACAGCTGCCTGTCCCCTCCATGTGAGGAACAAACCCTGGAAATGTTGGGGCTGCCCTCCCCAGTTGCACTCATTCAGCTTGTGAATTATGGATATAAGTGTATATAATAATATACATCTAACGACCCCGTGTGCAACCTGTGCTTCTCCATCTGCAAGTTTTCAGTGTGTGATATAAAGGCATCAAAGGAAGACTTTAAAGTTCTGTTGCCTGGAAAGCCGGTCTGACTCCTGAGGGAGGGGTGTTAGGTTGTAGCACTTGCTGCTTTTCTCCTCTGCGCCTGTCTGTTCCCAGTGCGCCTGCGCTGTGACCCGGCGACTGGTCTCTCACCATTTTGTAGAAGCCACGGGTTTGCATTTATTTGATATATATCTCAACTGAAAAAAATGCAGACTTTTTAGTATTGTTTAGAGTCAGGTTAGATGAGTTTGCCTCCTGGAAAAAGGGGCTGTTCTGTATTCACATTGTCGTGTGCCTTGACCAGTTCCAGTTTCTAATTACTTCATTCACGTGCACAGCGTGTATTTTCCCCACAGAGTCGGAAGCGAGAGCGTTGGCTAAAGAGAGACAAAAAAAGGACAATCACAACCTGAGTAAGTTGGTTTTGTTTGTCACCGTGGATGTTGGAACTGATGCTTGTCATATTGGATGTTGGAATTGATGTTCACTTTTATCAAGTTTTTTCCCCAGAAATTTTAGAGGGAAATTGACTTCTGTGATATTAAAGGTATATTTTATGGCAGAAATTATTTTTCAGAGAAACCAAGGTATATATTTTCCCCAGATTTTATCTCAGATCAAATTGAAATTTTTCCAGTACCCTGAAGACTATTTTCCTTGTTTATAGTATTGGTTTTGTATGTGTGTGAGTGAGAGACACTTGATCCCCAACTACCCAATTATAAGTGGTGCTCACACTGGAACTTATTAACAATACAGGGTTATGGGAGCACCTTCTCCAGTGAGATTTGAAAGGAAAAAATAGAATCATCTGGAGGGTAGTCTCTCTGTGGGTGAGGTAGCCTTCCAAATTTCTGACTTTACCTGTGATGTAAAAATATTTTAACATTTAAAATTATTTGTCTGTGTTTAATTTACTCTTAATCAAATGTTTACGCTGTTCCTATAAAAACGTAAGATTTGTGTTTCATAAACAAGTAAAAGAGGCTGCACGGTAAAAAAAACCAAACAAACAAAGGGACTGGCTTGGAGGCAGGAAACAGTGTGCGTGTGAGTCAGTGTCTCATCCTGTGGCCTCCGGTGCTCTCTTTCCTACATTGATGTTTAAGAATATAAGTGACATATGATGCTCTGTCCTTATAGAAATGAGAGAATAAGGCCGGAGTTCTCCTGCGATCGTTGGGATAATCTTTCCTCTTCTCAATTTGCTGTTGGTCTTCTCGGCCTCTTTCCTTGTCTTTAGAAAACACCCAGAATAGAAAGCACTGCTCTATGATGAGGAAACACAGACGCTGTCATCTTGTCCACACTCTGCTGCTTGCTGTTTTCCTCAGATCATGTCCTGAAGACTTCCACTGTTAATTACTGAGCCATTGCCTTTAAAGACTGTTGCTAAGTACTCCATAGCATGGCCACCTGCTGCTGGGGCTGTTTCCAGTGTGTCCCTGTTGTAAACAGTGCCAGGTGGACAACTGTGCATGTGCCTCTCTGTTTGTTACCAAACAGAAGGAACCTGTGTTCCCCACTGCTAACCCCCAGCCCGGTGCTGGCAGAGAGAGCCACACCCTAAATCCTGAGAACTGGCAGGAGACTGGCTGTTTTATCATGAATGATGCCACCCAGGAGAGCGGGCAGCTCATGCTCAGAGCCCGGACTCCTGGTAGCGTGGCGCGTGCATTACAGATTCTATAGGATAAAGCACAGGGCACTGTGGGGTGGGGGTTCCGAGTTGTACTGGGAGCTGCCGGGGCAGGAGAGAGCCGGGGAGTCAGTGTCTGAGCGCAGCTCTGTCTGTTTCATAGGAAAGTAGCCAGGGGGCCTTTCCACCTCAGGGCTGGGGAGCTGACACAGCCCAGTCAGGATGTTCTCCCTCCTGCAGAGGTCCATTCCTCAGGCCCGGCTCCTGTCTTCTGCTGCCTCGGGGTTACTGATTGCCTGCGGAAAGGCTAGGTCTCTGAGGGTAGAGAGAGAGAGACGATTTTTACAGCTAAATGTTATCAGTCATATGGATCCTCAGGTTCATGTGCAGGGGAGCTTGTTGCTCCAGGTTAGGAGCTGAGAGATGGAATTGCTGGGTCCCCAGGGGCAGTCTTTCTAAGTGGGTATTGCCCTGGCCAGTCCCATCCAGTGATGGGAAGCTTCCCTCGTCTCTTACCCAAAAGATGTGAGTTAATATTAGGTCTCCTCTGGCTTCCAAGTAATTTTACTCTTAGATATTTCTCCTTTTCAAATGCCTTATAAGTAAGATAATTAGGCATTATCCAAAACTTGTCAAAAACAATATTCATCTAATCTCTCAAGTTCATAGTTGACAAAGTGCAAGCATGGTCAGCTCAAATTCTGAGGGCTATAAAACAATCCTAAAATCGCATCTAACCATTAGAAATTAACACTGAAGGTTAGATTGCCCTTTGGCATAGCTCTTTCTCTTCTACACATTTTATCTTGTGAGAATATTGCCAGCATGTGCAAAAGAACACACCCATTTCTCCACTCTGTTTATTGAGCCCCTGCTGCATGGGAGGCACTTTCTACAAACAGGTTTCCCGTCCTATGTGCTTAGATTCAAGTCAGGGGCCGGCAGAATAGATGAGAAAACCAATACATCAAGGTGGTGTGTTCAACATAAAGTATTATGATAGGAATGAAATGTACATGCAAATCCTGGCAAAAACACTTCTTATACACTGAAAAAGAGGGAGAACTTGAAAACAGTGTCAGTGGTTCTCAACCTTCCTAATGCCGCGACCCTTTAATACAGTTCCTCATGTTGTGGTGACCCCCAATTTCATTGTTACAAATTGAACATAATTAAAGCATAGTGACTAATCACAAAAACAGTATGTAATTATATACGTGTTTTCCGATGGTCTTAGGCGACCCCTGTGAAAGGCTTGCGACCCACAGGTTGAGAACCGCTGGACTGTAAATAGTCATCAGTAGAGGATTTCTAAGTAAATTATGGTGCCTCCATGCGGGGATTCTCAGTGTCGCTTAGAAGAATGGGGTGGTCTAGTCCACCTGACTCAGACGTCTACCATACATTGCTGAGTACAAAGCAGAACAATGCGTGCAGTGTCTCCTTAGATACAAAGCACCTACTATGTGCACCTGTGTGTGTTTATGGGTGCATGGCGAGAGGTTCTGGGAGTCACCCTCATCCTTGACAAGAAATACAGGTGTTTGATGGTGTAAAAGGTGGTTTTTACTTCTTCCTTTATACACTTTTGTATGTTTTGCAAGTTTATATAAGCTTATACCACTTGTATAATTTTAAAAAGTTCGGGAGGGAAAGCATTGAATTAAAAATAAAATGTAATACATCTAAGTGTTGACAGTAATAGATGTCAACAATATGCTATTAAGTGAGAAACGATAGATGCAGAATCATTTTTAATATTATCTACTATAACTGCATCATTCTTTATTTAATACATAGTTACTGAGGGCCTACTGTGTTCCAGGCTCATATGGGTGTTTTGAATGCCTCAATGAAAATATATACATACATACAGAAAATACACAGACATTAGATGGTAGAAAGTCATGTAAATGAATCTATGAATGAATGATGTGGATGTCGGATGGCAGGAAGTTTTATGAGGAGACAAAGTGCAACCAAGCAGTTAGAGTGTCAGGATGGAGTGTTGGTTGGTTTTAAATAGGGTGGCCAGGGTGGGCTCCCAGGACAGTGTGAGTCACTCCCTGAGGGAGGTGAGGACAGAGCCACGCAGATGCAGTACTTGGGACTAGTGCTCCAGGCAGGGGGGACACCACTATGAAGCTCCAAGTCGGGGGTGGAGTCCCAAAGTGGTTGAGGAATAGCAAGAAGTTTACGGGCTGAAGGGGGACACAGATGAGTTATGGTAAACATATAGTTGGAGTGGGAGAGGGTAGAAACGAGGCGGGAGGGATGGAGGCTGCCAGTACTTGTGGGATGCCTTGAGGACGTGGCTTTTGTCGAGGTGAGATGGGGAGTGATGGAGGGTTTTCAGTGAAGGACAGCCGTGCTCTGCCTTACTTTGCACAGGACCCCCCCGCTGGGATATTCTGGATGGACCAACGCGGGTGGGGAACACTGGGCCTGGGTGGAGCACAGAGACCAGGTAGTCGGATTGTAGGAATCCAGGCAGGAGACGGTGGCTTCTGTCAGTAGCCATGAAGCTGCATGGACTGTTCTAGAAATACTGTGAGGATAGAGGCAACAGATTTGATGCTGGAGCAGCTGTGGGATATGAGACGACAGAGGTGCAGTATTGATTCCAGGACTGAGTTCTGCAAAGTGAGGGGGAACCTGGGCAGAGTGCGGACTGTCCCTAGAGCTCCCCAGGGAGGCAAGGGGGTGGACGTGCGAGTCTGGAGTTCCAGAAGATGCCAGGCTGGATGTGTAACTGTGGAGCCTCAGCTTGTGTGGCATTCAGACCAGGAGGCAGCACCGGGTCACGAAGAAGTGAATGTGGACCGAAAGAGGCCCCAGAACCGTGGCCGGAGGCCCGTGTGTGTGTTTTCAGAGGTTGTCATCGCCAGGGACGTAGAAGACACGCAACAGCAATTGTAGCTGGGTCCTGGGAGGCTTTTATTTCACTCTATGTATTTCAGTATTGTTTGAATTATGATTATTATATGCTTGGGAAAAGTAAGGAACATTGCCAGAAGAGATCAGCTAAGCTGATCAGAGGTGCAAAAGCTCCTCATTCAGAACCATTGCATCACCTATTCTATTTTTATAAAAGCTTAGTGATAGACAGTGATATATACAATTGATGTAATGATAGAGATCATCACTCAGCTTAAAAATGCAACGTATTTTGGGAAGTAGTGAACAATATTTTTTATTCAAGTGAATCAAATATGAATATGTACTAAGTTATACAAAATAACATAATAATAATAAATATGTATTAGGTTATAATATATTTAAAGTAAAAAGTTAACATCTTTAATTCAATTTATTAGACCTTAAGTTATTTGGAATTAATAAATTAAAAACATTTATTAACATATATGCTTTGCTACTTCACCCTCCCCTAAGAAGAACATACAACTAGATTTATGAGTGGGAATGCTGTTGGGCTGGTGATGTAGGGTAAAGGCGCTGGACGTAACTTCTGGTGGGTTATCCAGACCACAGCCACACGTCACATGGCCTGGTGAGCACTTGGGATGGGGATGTGGCTCATTGAAGTGAGCATGTGCTGTACGAGTACAGTACTTAGTACAAAGGAGAGAATGTAAATATCAAATTTATAAATTGTATACTAATTACATGTTTAAATGATAATCTGAATATATTGCTTTATTAAAATATTAAAGTTAATTTCACCTTTTGGTACTTTTTTAATGTGGCTGCTAGAAATTTAAAATTTCATCTATGACTTACATTATGTTCCTATTGGGAAGCACTGGGCCAGAGCAGGAGTTTTTGTGTGGCCTGTGGGCAAAGAAAGTGTTTTACATTTTTAAAGAGTTTTAAAAAAATCAAAACAAGAATGATATTTGGGGATATGTAAAAGTTATGTAAGATCCAAGTTTTGGCACCCAGTGCTCTTTATTAGCAGACTTGCACTGCAAACACATTTACCTGGTTAACATTACACATTTGACTTTGGCCAATAAATAGGCTGTGGAAATCTGTTTTATCTCCTGGTATGTATGTACCTGCATAATGGCCTCAGTTCTGGCCACTCAGCCAGTGGCGCCGAAATCCGCAGGGGCCCTTTGCAGAGAGTCTGGCCTGGTCTGCAACCAGGGTGGGGTCCTGGCCCTCCCCACTTCCTGCTGTGTCCTCACCTCCCTCATGTGCCCAGGGCAGTTTTCTTGTTTGTAATGGAGTACAGTGGCTCCCATTACAGGGTTGTGACGGGACCAAATGAGAAACTGTATATCTCAGGGCTTACTTAATGATAAAAGGTAGCTCATTTGAAAACTATTTTAACTTTAGTACCAAAACCATGGAAACACGGAAATACAGGGTCAGGTTTCGTGGTCCTGAGCCCTAAGGTTGATACATGCATGTCGTTAATGAGATACGTTCATGCCAATGTGATGCTGTTGCTAATAGTCCTTCCTGTGCTCTTTTCTTGAAGTTGAACGAAGAAGAAGATTTAACATAAATGACCGCATTAAAGAACTAGGTACATTGATTCCCAAGTCCAATGATCCGTAAGTACAATTGCATATTCATCTGCATCGTATAGTTTTTGTACCTTAATGTTTTTCCCTATGTTGCAAAAACTGCACCGTTATGAAAACCAGTGTAAAGAAGTCCCCCTTTCCTTGGAGTTAATCCTAAATACTCCATCCATCTTGCTTTTAATAGTCTTATCAAACTAAGATGCTGAGGGAAGTGCACCGAATTGTCCAACAGGGTGATTGGACATGAGGTAGCTCTGGGTGTGAGGAGAATCCTTGGCAAACAAACACTGAGCTGCTAAACAAAATTAGTTACCAGTTTCTGCAGGACAGCGATTTCAGCACGTGCTGAAGCAAGGTATTGCTGGCTGCTCTTCATCTCCAACAGCATCTGTAGGCACTGAGAGCTGATATTGCAGACTTCACGTTTAACAATTTTGCTCAATTGTGTGTGTTTCTTAAACGTTCGTGTTCTTTGTATGTTTTTCCCTTCTAGAAAAACAGAGTACGTTTTAATCCTCTCCTAAGTATAGGTCAGCTCCTGGGATTTCAGCTCTTTCTTCGCGCCCACTGCTTGGGGGATCACAGTGGTAAAGATCTCTTTCCTGCTGGCAACAGCAGCACACAGGACAACACATGCAGTTTCTATCCATTAGACATCGGCCCATTTGAAGTTAGGGGCTCCAGGAAGTACACATTTTAATGGCTCCCACTGGCATTCAATGAAATTAGCCTGTGAATATGACCTTTTAGCTATCTAATAAAATTTGAAGATGAAGTCAGCCGTTATTCATGCACGGCTGATTAAGTTTGCTGTTCACATTATTGCCGGGGTATTTGTGAGGAAATAAAGTAAGACCATTGTAAGGTGGCTCTGATGAATGAGTGCTCAAGCACAGTCTCCATGCTCCACATTTTACTTTCCAGGTTTCTCAAGGAAAACCATTTTGAAACTCAGAACATTCGAGTCCTCAGCTCTGCTTCACACATTTATCCCATGAGGGAGTTGTGACCTTCATTTCCTGTCCTCAGTGTGGCATGATAGCTGAGAATGGATCCCCCCTTTCCTGTTCTTCATCAGCTCTCACTTTTAGACTAGCATGGGAATCTCTTTACCAGAGGATGAAGTTCTGGGCGGGAGTGAGAGCCTCCCCCTGCCTTTCTCCTTTGTATTCCGTTACTTAGGTTGACAATCTGGACTGATAATGATCTGAATGTGTAGGCATCGTTTTAAGATAAAATGGACAGTCATCTGTACTGTTTCCGTGCCTGGGAGCCGACCCTGGGCGACTGAGGAGACAGTCCAGCTGACCAGGGTCTCGCCCCACGCCCTCGCCTGCCCTCAGCACACCTGCTCTTGTTGATTTCCATAGTAGAGATTTATGTACACTTCTGTGTGAAAGTGGGTCTTTCTCGTTAAGACAGAAAAGTTTAAAAACCCTGCTTTTAAGTCCAGAAGCATAATTAATTCTTTGGATCTCACAAGGAAGTAAAACCCAAGATAACTGGTTGAAATCGTCACTTCTTAAAAATGAAGTGGCTGTGTGCATGTTTCAGCAACTTGTCCTCGCCTTGCTGGCCTCAGCAAGGTATGTTTCAGTATAGTTGCCTTTCTCTCTGGCTGCTAAAGTTTCTCTTCCTTGGATATTAGCCCTGAAATTAGCCAGTTGGCTCAATCCCAGGACACCTCCCTGCTGCCATCTTTGGTGTTCAGACCCTGGGGATCTGCCCCCAGGAACTCTCAGGGGCCTGAGCGCTGCCTCTCATGGGAGAACTCTATTTGGTTCTTTATATAACCCATGTGAGGATCAGTGACTTGGTGACTTGTGTTAACCGCCCTCCATGCACACAGCCACCTGATACTTCTGATCCACTTGGAGCAGCTGTAGAGTAAAGCTTTGGAGGTTTTTCATACATTACAAGTATTTTTGTTTTCATCACTATCGTCATTATCATCATGAATATTGTCTATAAAAGGACTCAGAGTAAAGTGCTATAGAAATATTGCTTACCTAATTATAATTTCATTCTTAGTCATTGATCTGGAGTGCTCTAAATGGTGTTTCTATTTGTTTCACATGTGAGTACATTAGTGCTGTGGTGATCACAGACTGAGGGCGTGGACCGCAGGTGCTGGGTTTGAATTCCCAGCCGGTGCCTTCCTAGACGTCTGTGCTGGCTGGAGCTCTCGGGCTTCATCCTCAGCTGTTAAGAAGGGGCGATCAGAGTATCCCTGCCTAGCCTCGTGGTTTTGAGGACTCAGTTACACACGAGGAAGAATGGCACAGTGGTGTAGAGCCTGCGTTCGAAGCCAGGCAGTCTAGGCTTCCTGGTCTGCCACTTCCCAGCTGTGCGGCCTTGGGAAAATTATTGGACCTTTCTGTGCCTGAATTTCTCAGTCTGTCAAATGGAGTTGTGATGACTAAATGAGCTGTACAATTCTTGGGAAAGCACCTGGCACCTAGTGAATGCTATATAATGAGCCATCGAGTGAGTACATGGAGCCCCTCACACATTAGAACTGCACCCTCAGCTTTTTGCAGCATTTTTATATAAAGTGCCCCCTTTGATTCCAAAAACATCCCATGAGGCTGCGCATGCGAGGGGAATATCACGGTTTACAAAGAGGAAATACAGACAGAGAAGTAGGTAACCTGTCCATGGAAACCACGATGCAGTTCAAGGATGCCACCTGTGTGCCTCACACAGTCAGGTAGTGAGGCATCATGGGATGTTTTTGCCACAGCTTATTCTCTGAGTTAATGTTATTGTCCTAGAAAGCTGTAGCTATTTCATACGATGCTAAGAATATTGACTTTACAACCAACAGACCTAAGTTTTTAGGTCCTGACTCCACCTTGTAGCTCTGACCCAGGCTAGCCCATGCCAGAGTGCTCCTCGGGGTACGTGGGGGGAGAGGGGATGGTGACTAGTAGCTATACCAACCTGCACTCGGTAGCGCATCTTTGGAAACTGCTCTGACTGTTGCATTTTTATTGATCCTCAAGTCATACAGAGTCTGTCTCCTTGCATTTCATCAGGGACATGCGCTGGAACAAGGGCACCATTTTAAAAGCGTCCGTGGACTACATCCGGAAGCTGCAGCGGGAGCAGCAGCGGGCAAAAGAGCTGGAGACGCGGCAGAAGAAGCTGGAGCACGCCAACCGGCACCTGCTGCTCCGCATTCAGGTACGGCCAGCTGCAGCCTGTGCTCCTGACTTCACAGGGGAGAAGAAAGGGTGCAGGGAGCCCCCCCGGGAGTTGACTCACGTGATCCTCATTATTTGTGGATTCCCTATTTGAATCTGCCACTTATAACAATTTATTTGTAACCCAAAGCAACATTTGTGGCACCTTTTGGTCATTCTCGGAATGTGCAGAGCCACAGACTGGAGTTGCCCAGGACGTCTTCCACGCAGGGGGAGCACGGCGAGGCTCTGCCTTCTGCTCTCAGCTCCTCCTGTGACCCAGTGTCCTTTTTGCAGTGTGGTTAGTGCCAGGTTTTTCATATTTTTGTGGGTGATTTTGCTGTTTACAGTGGCCTGTAAGCATCATGCCAAAGTGTTGACTAGTTTCCCAAGCACTGAAGGCTGCGATGTGTCTGATGGAGCTAAGTTGACTTCAAACATAAGTTGCAGTGCTATTGGCTGAGTTCAGTGCCAATGAATCAGCATTACATCTAATCTAATAAAAGAGAATCATGCAAATTGACTGTACCTCTGCTACACCCACAAGCCACGCCCACCAGCCAATCAGGAGCAAATATGCAAATTAACCCAACTAAGATGGTGGCGGCCATGAAGCTGGAGCGAGCAGGAGGCTGAGGTTGCCCCCGGCAATGGAGGAAGCCAAGCTTCCCGCCTGCCCTGGCCAGCCCTGGGCTCCACTCAAGGCTACAAAGTTTCAATTATAGAAAATAATCTCCTGTAATGTTTAAAAGAAAAAAAGGAGAAGCTGGTAGCTTGGGTTGCCGGGGGGCATGGCCAGCCTGAAAAGGGCCCTCAGGCCCTCACCCAGGCTGGCCAGGCACCCCAGTGGGACTCCCCCACCCTGAAGGGGCTGCGGCCAGGC